CCAAAAAAAAAAAAAAAAAGAGGCATTAGGGAGCGGCTGTGGGCATGGGAACACGGCAGCAAAGAGGCCTAGAGCCGGCCTGAGGCTTGCCTGGGTGGCCCTGGAGGGAAGGTTTCACCTTCACCCAGAGGGGACTTCCTGGCGTTTGCACATTGACCCAGCGGACACTCTGGACCCTGTGTTTATGAACACAAACATTTTAATCAGGATTTTATCCACCCTGATGAATTTTCATTCTAGGAAGTATTTTCAAGGCAAATGCCATTGAGGACAATTTAATGCCTTGATCAGTTTTCTACGTAGTACAGATACATTTCCTTTTTTTCCCATGAAATAATTTTCACCAGGACCAAATCCTTTTCACGTGCGTTGTACCACGTATATCGGACTCCCCGGTTAGTGTTCGAGCTCTGTCGAATGTCACCCACTGTCTCGTCTTGTCATTGGAATTTCTCCCCTGCGGCTCTCATCTCCAGTAAGTCCAATTTTCCCAGGGAGGCGTCCCTGACCGACTTCTCACCCATCGGTACCCGATGCCGAATCTGAACCGTGTGCTGTTCGTACTGATGTGCAACATCCGTGCTGTTTTAGCCTCGTCGACTTCCTCCTGTGCGGTGTTTCTGAGGGTGAACCCATCCGACCGCTCAGTTGACCCGGGAGAAGAATGGCAGCCTTTTCCCAGCGATATTCCAGGACGTCCTGAGACCCCGGAACTGTGTCAAGACGTCCTATCGGGCGCGGCGCTTCCCGGGTGGGGGGCAGGGAGAGCGGCGCCCTCCCTGACCTCGGCCCCCGCCCGGGGTCACGGCGCCTTGTCCGCAGCCTGCTCGGCGCGCGGGGCCCCGCCGGCGGCTGCACGCGAGCCGCGGAGCAGACCCAGGCCCCGGGAGCGGCCGGCGCCGTGCAGCTGGCGCTCGTGGCGCCGGATCTGCACCTTGTGGCGGAAGCGCTCGCCGCAGTCCTCACACACATAAGGCCGCTCGCCCGAGTGCGTGCGGCGGTGGCGCAGCAGGTTGGACGAGACGCTGAAGCGCTTGCCGCAGTCGCCGCAGGCGTAGGGCCGCTCGCCCGTGTGCGTGCGCTGGTGCTGCACGAGCGCCGAGCTCTCGCTGAAGCGCTTGGCGCAGTACGGGCACGCGTAGGGCTTCTCGCCCGTGTGGATGCGCTGGTGCGTCACCAGATTCGAGTGCTGCGAGAAGCTCTTGCCGCACTCGCCGCAGCGGTGGGGCCGCTCGCCCGTGTGCGTGGCCTGGTGCCGCACGAGGTCCGTGCTGCGGCTGAAGCCCTTGCCGCACTCCCCGCAGATGGTCGGCCGGTCCCGGGCGCGCCGCCGCCGC